TTAGGGTTTCGGGTTTAGGATTTTAGAGTTTAGGGTTTAGGGTTTAGGATTTTAGAGTTTAGGGTTTAGGACTTCGGGGTTTAGGGCATAGGATTTTGGGGTTTAGGGTTTAGGGATCCCGAAACTCGAAACCCGAAGGGTTCGTCCAAAGGGGTCCCTGAAAGGGATCCCCAAAGCCCAAGCCCTAAACCCTAAGTCTTACATCCGAAAATCCTAAACCGGAAGGGGTCCTTCTAAGAGTTAGAGGGATCCTTAGATTTAGGGTTTCGGGCTCCCAAAAAAGATCCTTCCCTAACGGTGCCTTGGCCGACTCAAGATAAACCGCCAGGGCGGCGGCGACTGTGGTGCCGTCCACGACAGCCGGGCCTTTTAAAGGATCTACGAGGGGGCTCCTAGGGTTTAATATAGGGGCCTAAATAATTGCCTATATTATTTGGGGGCTCCTTCTTATTATTATAGTATAATGGGCCCCACAACCCTATTCCAGCTGTTAAGGCCCAAAATTAGGGTTTTAAGGGTTCTACAAGGGGGCTCCTAGGGTTTAGGGCTTTAAGGGTCCAGGGTTTTTGAGGTGTAGGGTTTAGGGTTTAGGACTCCTAGGGTTTCGGGCTTTAAGGGTTTGGGGGTGTTGGGGTTTATGCCGCGGACGTCCGGCTTTTTGGTTTAGGGCTTTACGGCTTTAAGGGCTCTATGGGTTTAGGTTTATGCAGGGCTTTAGGATGTACGGCTTTAGGGGTTTGAGGATTTAATGCTTTCGGGCTTTATAATGGCTCCAGGTTTTCAAGGGGCTCCTACAGGATTTAGGGCTTTAGGGGTTCATGGGTATCGGGGTTTAGGGGCTTTTGGGGTTTAGGGGGTGCCTTAAGGCTCTGGGGCTGCCTTATGGGCTTTTGTTACACCCTAAACTCTGAACATCTCTGGACCCTCACCCTGAAGCCTAAACCCAAACTTTAGGGTTTGGGGTTTAGGGTTTGCCCCTGGAGCTTCGGCTGGGTTTGCAGTTGCTGGAGCTGCTGTCGCTTGAGTGTTTAGGGTTTAGGGTTTAGGGGGGTTTAGGGTTTAGGGGGGTTTAGGGTTTAGGGTTTGGGGCTGAGGGGTTTAGGGTTTGTTTGCGGTTTAGGGCTTAGGGCTTAGGGTTCAGGGAAGGCAACAAAGGGCCCTTAGCTAAGAAACAGACCTTAAACCCTGAAACCCTAAACCCTAAACCCCCCTAAACCCTAAACCCCAAACTCCCCTAAAACCTAAACCCTAAGCCCTCCTAAACCCCTAAACCCTCCTAAACCCTAAGCCCCCTTAAACCCGAACCCCTCCTAAACCCTAACCCTCCTAAACCCTAAACCCTCCTAAACCCTAAACCTTCCATTATAGCTCAGGGCTTGGGGTGTCGGGATCCTTCGAGGGATCCTGGAAGGATCCCGCGAAGGCTTCCTAAAAAAGGACTCCTAAAATTTAGGGTTTAGGGTTTAGGATTTAGGGTTTAGGGTTTGGGGTTCAGGGTTTGGGGTTTAGGGTTTAGGGTTTAGGGCTTTAAGGGTTTAGGATTCAGGGTTTAGGGCTTTAAGGGTTCAGGCTTTGGGGTTTAGGGCTTTAAGGGTTCAGGGTTCAGGGTTTCGGGCTTTAAGGGTTCAGGGTTTAGGGTTTAGGGATTAGGGTTTAGGCTTTAGGGTGTACAAGTTGGGAAGGTCTAGTTAACCCTACACCCTGAACCCTCATCCCACACGCCAAACAACGATAGGACCAGTTCCCAGCGGCTGGGTAGATCCTCCTCCTCCTCTTCCTCCTCCTCCTCTTCTTCTTCTTCTGCATCCTCTTCCTCCTCCTCGCTTACCAACCTGATCCTTGGAGAACGGCTTAGGGTTTAGGGCTTAGGGTTTAGGGTTTAGGGGAGGGTTTTGTAGAGGTTTCTACCAGGTGAATATCGGGATGTCAGACACATTTCCCGGGCTGTTGTAAGAGCTCCTGTAAGAAATTTGAACTTTGACTGTATAGGTTGAGGGATGTATACGATTTCAGCATTTAGGGTTTTACAAAGGATACCCCTAAACCCTAAACCCTAAACCTTCTTCTATCTTTGAAAGGGTTTCGTAGCAGGGGGACTAAGAGCTGGTGGCTGAGAAAAGACATGTGGGTAGTTTTCTAAAATGGGGTCCCTTTGGGGGTCCGTTTTATAAGGGTGCCGTAGCATCTTGGGGACCCAGAAAGGGACCCTAATTTAGAGAACTACCCATGTTTGCTTTTTTGCAGGGTTTGGTCTTAATGGGGTCGCTCTGATTAGGGTTTAAGGTTTAGCATTCTAAACCCTAAACTTAGGTTTAGGGTTTAGGGTTTAGGGTGTTTAAACCCTAAACCCGAAACCCTAAAACCCTAAAACCCTAAACCCTACACTAAGGCTGGCGCTTTGGATTGACCAGAACCGAAATTTGTAATGCTTGCGCGCCCACCCTGCAACTTCAAGACCGAAAATCGAAGCAAAGGTCACTTCTACAACCATCGAGGGTTAAGGGGTTTAGGATTTAGGGTGTAGTCACTTCCTCAACCATCTAGGGTTTGGGGGCTTAGGATTTAGGGTGTATCACCACCGTCTGGGCATCGAGACAGTTAGAAGCCCCTTTGAAGCCTCCCGAAGCCATCTAAAAGCCCTGGATCCCTACACCCTAAAAACTAAAACCCTAAACCCTAAACTGCGGACTACAAACGAAGCCAGGAGCCGAGCTAAGCTTAGAGCATCAGGTACTGTAGTTAGGGTATATGGTTTACGGTGTTTGGGTTTCGGCTGTACGGTTTAGGGTTTAGGGTGTTTGGGTTTAGGGTTTGGGTGTTTGGGTTTCGGGGCTAGGGTGTATGGTGTAGGGTTTTGGTGTTTGGGTTTCGGGTTCAGGGAGTAGGGTTTAGGGCTTGGGTGTTTGGGGTTTAGGGTGTAGGGTTCAGGTGGGTTTTATGGCTTAGGGTGTAGGGCTTTTCGGGGCTTAGGGTGAGGGTTTAGGGCTTAGGGTTTTTTGGTGTTTAGGGTGTAGGGCTTGGGCCTTGGGGCTTAGGGTGTAGCACAAGACCGACGCTGCATACACCTAGTGTAAAAGTCTTAATAATTAGACTAAGGTTTTGGGGTATAATATTATACTACAACTATGATAAGGAACTTTCAAAAGAGTACAGGTAATTGTTTAGGCCCCTACAGTACATGTCGCTTTGTGCTGCTTAGGGTGTAGGGTTTAGCCCTCCCCCCCCCTCTTCACGTCAGTTGGCGGAGGGGATAGCGGATGATCAGGCAGCCCAACGCAAGTTTTTATTGTTAATCACTTGAGTCGCGCTTTGGGCACCTACCTCTAATCCTAAACCCTAAACCCTAAACCCTAAACCCTAAACCCTAAACCCTAAACCGTGCTTTTGTTAGCGCCGCAACGCTTATTCCCCCAATCAGCCAGGGAAGTGCGAGGTTGAACTTTCAGACTACTACTACATTGTAAGAGACCCTAAACCCTAAACCCTAAAACCCTAAAACCCTAAAGCCCTAAACCCTAAATCCAAGCCCTAAAGCCTAAAACTCTAAACCCTCTTGGGGAACGAAGAACAGCTCTGGAGGATTTGTGCACATCTTCACAGGACCGCGGTAGATGCAAGTGACGACCCCGAGGCACAGCGCGGTCGGGCCAGGTTTTCAAGGCAACTAACCTCCCAGACCACCGGGAGGATCTAAAAAAGTAGATCCCCGAATTTGGGACCCTAACTACTACAGAGCACTTTATAGGAACCCCTAAACCCTAAACCCTAAACCTTGTAGGGGATCTATTTTTTGGATCCTCCCGGTGGTCTGGGCTGTTGATTCATTGATCCTCTTGACCATCATTGGCAGCAGCTGGCACTCTAAATCCTAAACCCTAAACCTTAAACCTTAAATCCCTAACCCTTAAACCCTAAGCCCCTAAAGACCCTAAACCCCAGCATCCTTGCTTTACTTTAAAAATCGGGAGCTTTTGAGAACCGTCTTCCGCTTTAGAAAAAAGAACCTCTTCTTGTCGTAGAAGGATCCCTGGTTCTTATCATTTCCTGATTACGTGAAGATGGATTACCCAGACCACCGGGAGGATCCCAAAAGGGTTGCTATAAACTGCTCTTTAGTAGTTAGGGTTCCAGAATCTGGGATCTACTTTTTGAATCCTCCCAGTGGTCTGGGTATACTGATCATTGGTCTACCTCGTCCCCGTGCAAACTTACCGTTTGGGTTTGGGGGTCAGGGTTGAGGGTTTAGGGTTTGCAAGTCCGTGAGGTATTAAAGTAGAAGCCCAAAAAACTTGGAAACTCAACAGCGTCAATCCTTAAGAGTCATGTGTCAGGAATCCCAGCACAAATTGCCCTTAATACGGCTTCCAACTTTTGGGGGGGGGTTTACTATATCGATCTGCCAGACTTGAACCAAACACTCCTAACCCTAAACCCGCACTCCTTAAGCCTAGCACGTCTTGTTCCTCAGACGCTGAATCCCGGGAAACCCAAAGCCCGATTTTACATTCCAGAGGCCATCACAAACACAGATTTACGGTTTAGGGTTTAAGGTTTAGGGTTTAAGGTTTAGGGTTTAAGGTTAGGGTTTAGGGTTTAAGGTTTGGGGTTTAGGGTTTAGGGTTCAGGGTTTAGGATTTATGTCCTGGCAAGCTCGTTGGCAAAGCCAATACACTGCCAGATTTATCACCTACGAAACCTTGAAAATCTAGTACACCCTCATGGGACCAGCATAATAGAATGTTGTTTCTTTTAAGGAACCCTAAACCCTAAACCCTAAACAGATGTTTTTTTAAGGAACATGTGATTTCCTCACATAGGGTATTGGGGTTCCTATACGTTGAGGCTCCTGCTCTCAGGGGGTCCTGGTTTAGGGTTTAGGGTTTAGGATTTAGGGTTTAGGGTTTAGGGTTCAGGATTTAGGGTGTTCCTGATGGGTTTTCTGAAAGCCTAATCCCTACCTTCAAGACCCTTGTAAGCCCTTACTACGGTTGATGATATTAAAACCTGCATTACCCATAATAAGGAATGTACCATAATTCGCATGGTTTGGGGTCCTTAAGGTAATGCAGGATTATATCATCAACAATCTCAGCCTATAGAACCTCGCCTAGCGAAGCCCTAAGCCTCAAACCTCCAGAGAAACTCCCACAGGTTGTGCAGTGTGCCTGAAAAATCCCTAAACCTATAATCCTTTTCGCTCAATGTCACTTTGGATAAGGGGGCCCAAATCTAAAGGACCTAAGGATACAACCGGAGGACCTCAGTAAGAAATGAGAACACTTTGAACTATCAGGGATTGATACTCTGATCAAGGTATATTAAGGATGCCTGAATTAAGGTGCACTGAGTAAAACCCCAGAAAGACACTCTTCTAAAACCAAACAACTGAAGCAAGCAGACCACTGAAGAAAACCTTTCAAAAGCCCAGTAGAACTCGTGTAGACGAACCCATTACCTTAAACCCTAAACCCTAAGGCTACATGGCCCTCATCAGCCCGCTTTAGAGAACCCTTCGAGGAATCCTTCAAGCAAACTCAGCCAAAAGATCAAACTAACCGAGGCCGTCGCTCCCAGTGGATGGAGCTTTCTTTGCGGAAGAGCCTGAAACGCTCCTTCGGGCGGTTTGTGCAGGGCCTCATTAAGTAGAACAAGATTTTAAGGTATCTCATCCTATTCTGATCTACGATGAGGATCCCTAAGCAAAACTAAACCCTAAACCCTGAACCCTGAACCCTAAGCCCTAAACCAAAGACTAGAATCTTACGACTGAAGCATCAGGGTTTGGTGTTTAGGGTTTTGGGCTCAGAGAGTTGTGTTTAAATTTAGGGCGGAGGGTGCGCTTGCAGGTGTATGGGAATTTCGATGTTTTTTTTGTAGACTACACCCTTATGAGATCCCGTGAAACCCTTTTACACCCTTATACAACCGTTTGAAACCCCTTTCTTTATAGCCTGAACTATAACCCTGAACTATAACCCTCGGTGAGCCTAAATTTTATTTCCCTTAGCTTTGGCCCATCTCCACGGCCTTATTGATGAAAGGAGGGAGGGGCACCCTGATCGGGGTTCCCGAGGGTCAGACCTTGCGGAAGTTGTCCGTGACGGCATCATCGCCCCTGTAATCCTTACAGCTCGAGAACATGCAGCCACCACAGGTCGCACAGTGGACGCCGTCCGTCCGACGTAAATGAATTTTTGGCCTAGGAGCTGCAGCACCTGCAGCTACCGCCTGAAAAATCGTTTTGCTTCCTGCCATCTCAAGCCTTCTTGAATTGGTTTCGTAGGGTTTAGGGTTCAGGGTGTGCAGTCTTCCCAAAAGCGGCTAGCCAAAAACCCCGAAGCGGGGGGCCTTTGGTCCAGAACCTGAAAATGTAAGCCAAAGGGTTTACGGTTTAGGGTTTAGGATCAACGTTCCCACCAACACCTTGGCACGTTGCCCAGGACCCTCACACAGTAGTAACACGGAGAGTAAAGAACAAGGGTTATCAGGTCTTCCCCACTCCCCTGACACGACCTATATCGACATAGGAACCTCGCCATACGGCCTAAGGCTGAACCGCCTTACTACCAAGCTCGCTAACTGCCGTCTTGCCTCTAGCGCACTTAAGGCAGTGGGAATGATTCAAACATAATATAGCGGCCTACATAATTACCAGTGCTACTTTGCGGGCTCCTTGTTCCAGTTAATAGTACACAAGACCCCAAGACCATTTTCTAACTTTTTAGGCCCCTGCATTATTGAAGGTTTTCCCGAAAACCCCTCCAACGTGAGGTGCGCGATACCGGACCCTGTCTTGACGGAAAAGCTTTCATATAGGGGCCTTAATAACTAGAGTAAGGTTTGGGGGTATATCATACAATAAGGAACCCCCAAAACCCTGTTCTAATTATTCAGGCCCCTACCTTCGAAGACTAGACGGGTGCAGACGATGGTTGTGTCGGGCTGCAGTGTGGCTCGACGGGGTGCGGATGGGCTGTGGACAAGGGGTGGAGTGCGATATCCGGTGCGAGAGGGCGGTTTGGACAAGGGGCCGTAAAGCCTAAACACCCTAAAAACCCTAAACCCTAAACCCTAATAACCCTAAACCCGAAAACCCTAAACCCTAAAAACCCTAAAAGCCCCAAAAACCCCAAAAACGCTGAAAACCCTAAAAACCGTAAAAACCCCAAAAACCTAAAAACCCTATAGACCCTAAAACCCCTAGCGGAGGCGGGTGCTGCGCAGACGAGGCGAGGGAGCACGAGATCGGGCGCTCCAAGGACACCGTACGTAAGTCTGTAACGCCTACGGCCTACGTCCACCATTGTTTATTGGTCGGCATCTTTGTATTGTAGACTTCGTAGGCACAGCCTCTTGCAAAGCACGGCCGCTCCGTTGTTTTGTCCATTTCGGAAGAACTGTCGAGCTTACAGTAGTTGGCGCACACGCAAAGTCGCCGCAGGCCGGCGCTCGCTCATGCAGCTGCCAGAGCCTCAAAGATTCTACTGCTGAGAAGCCTGTTGTAAGAAAACATCTGCCGAGGCTCCTGCCTGCAACTCCGGCCTGTGCGCCGGCAGTTCCAGGTCGTGCCGCTCGGCCATCGCTGTGGCCCAGTTTTGGTCCTGGAGGGTGACCCGGAACTCCTGGCCAAGGGCAAGCTTCGTGCTGCGGTCCTACGTAGCCAGACAGGTCGCGCGCACGGCGGCGGCATGGCGCCGCTGTGGGATGTGCAGCGGCACGTTAAGGAGCAGGACCTCTTGTGCCCACTTCGTGAAGTAGTGTGGGCCTCGGCGGGGTGCCCGACTGCGCACTCGCCGGCAGTCGTGTCATCGCGTGAAGTTTGTGTTCGACACAAACCGCGGGCCTTGCGGCGGCGTCTCGAAGACCCAGTCCGCCAGTGTCCATTGGCCGTTAAGCCTTCTTCCTCCTGGTGGAGCATACGCATGAAGATTGCTGGTCGGTTACTTTCGCGCTCCCGCAACGATTGCTCCTCCTTCAACTTGAACCACGCCACATCGGTCTGGTCGATACCGAGAAGGACGCGGTGTTCTCCGACCCGAGCCTGTCGAATACATTTTTTCATTTCCACGATTTTGTATGTATGCGTGTGTATGTGTATATATAATATATGTTCCTCGAATCGTGTGCTGCCTTGGCCACGGCGAAGTAAAAGGCCACGGCCAGGTTCCGGGTAAACGAGATCCAGGGACTGTCCTGCAGCCGTTGGGGTGCTAGCAGACAGCCGTTGCGGATGCCTTGGCACCTTCGGATTCTGGCTGATGTGCTCGGCAATGGTCCAGTCCCCGTCTCCTTCGACGACAGCAGAGACTAGTACGATCCCTGCGGCGGGCACGGCAGGGTGGCAAGTTGTGGCAAGTGCGGTGCCTTTAGCGATGCGGCAAGCATCGTAGCTTGCCGCTCCGCGCCACACCCATCCGGGATGCAACTCAAGCGCGCAGGCCCATCGGAATATGCATGACAAGTCCTCGCCTATGGCCAGTTCCTCTTCTTCGCGTTCTTCGATCTTTGCCAGTCGCACCTCAGAGTTGTGATCGGCTCACGCAGCCCGCTACCCGGATCGTTATAACCGGTGTCCTCCAGAGGCTCGTTCCGGAGATGACGGTAGAGCTCCTGCGCAAATCCACCGTCGCGGGTCACAGCACGAACTACTACCCACAGCCTTCAAGTGGGCACAGGACGCGTAAGCGCCCCAGCGCCGGCGTACCTCGGAACCCAAGCTGTCGGCTTCGAAACGGATTGTACTCGCTGAATAACGTTTTGGCGCATCTTTTCCTCTGGCCACATTGATGTCACTCTGAAATCCCCAAACCCTAAACCCTTGACCCTAAACCCCTATACCTCTTTACCCTAAACCCTGAACCCTAAACCCTTGACCCGAACCCGGGATTCAGGGCTTCGGGTCTGGGGCTGAGCACTTAGGATTGTATTCGTAGGGTTTGTTTAGAGTTTAATGTAGGGGCCTGAACAATTAGAATGGGGTTCTGGTGTATATATTCGCCTCGGCCCCTGGTCAGAGGTTCCTACTCGGACTTCCTCTA